TCATTTAGTTTTCTCCCTATCGTGAATCAGTTTACATAATGAAGAACGAACGTTTTAAGTGACGGTGTACAAACTGACCCATTTTACATAGACAGCGAATCCCTGCATGACACTATCTGATTAAGAGTTATAATTACATAAGTGCCAACAGGAATGGGACTTACTATTTTCTTTCGAGAGTTTCTCAAATGCATCTTCGTACAGATGTGTACGACGCACGAGCAGCGACAAGTCTGGAAATCGTTCTGCGTTTGCATGGGTGGCTAGGGCAGCTAAATGGGAAACATGAGATCCTTGGATGGCAGCGCGTGCGGATTCGACCAGAAGTTGGAACAACTGCGGAGTGAAACAAGTAGTAAACGAACTGCGTAAGAAGGTTATCACTGCCGTAAAGATAAGACAGTGTGTGCTAGGAACTTCAATCTTGTTAAACCATACACATACTTCTTTATGCACAAATGCAGTAGAAAAGGAAACACACTAATCACATATGAACTTTTCCTAATGACAGATTACGGCAGGCGTATTGCACCCTCTAGTAAACCACGAGATAAACCAAATTGACCAGGAAAGTATAAGTAATACTAGCAGGCCATAGCTATATGCGAAAAACACCTGTCCCAGGTTAAGTAGTCATTCTATGGTTGAGGGGCGACTGGTAAGGCGTAAGACTATGTGCGGACCGGCGTACACCAACACCTACGTTGTTATTGTGCGCAGGGTGAACTTTGGTATAGAAAGCGAATTTCCATTTTACCCCACTTTGACTGTTTTCTTGTGACTATGATGAAATGATTTTGCACTTCGTCCATCCAGTGTCTGTTTACAAGCCTGATTCTAAACGCTATTTTGAACATCAACCATTTTTTTAGACGTAATTCCATGCACATTTATGGACAGAACTTGTGTCAAGTTATCTTCGTGTGTTGTGTGTCTCACTCCCTGAAATTAACTTATTCCCCACCGTTCGATTTTCTCGGTATTACTTAATAGGTGTTGAGACTGGTAAAGAGCACATCACAGCAGCTCCGTACTTGTTGGGAATCATCGGCAGCGCGTGATGCATTTTGTACTTCTGCCGGGAATCGAATTGCGAAACTTCAGGTTGGTGAGTCGAACCTTTTATTCCTGGGTTGCATGACCAACATCAACGCTTGCCCGCATGGTCAGTTTGTCCAAATATGCTCTTGTTTTTTTTTCATCCCATACAGATCCACATATACAGAGTTTCGGCTCCAAAATAGAGGAGTTCCGGTAGACACGAGAATTATTACACACTGCACATGAGCCGCAAAAAGGATGAAACAGTTGTACAGTGCTCTTTGTCGTTCTTCAAACCAATTATTTGTGTGACAAATTTGGAAGATCTGTCCAGTCTAGTTTGAACTATCCGGAAGTTAGAAACCGAAAAAGTCAGCACTGTAAAAAGGAAATACTTAAAAACAGAAGGATGTTTGTTCCTCACTTATCGGCGTCGCGGACTGTGGCACAACCCTGTAGCCCAAGCCAGAGCAAGAGGCTGACTTGAGGAATCTCACCCCGAGCCCCCAGCAGAACAGTTTGACCTACAGGGCAGGTTTGTTATTACACAATGTGAATTACAGTAAAAGGGAAAATCCCCATAGGCAAATAGCATACTGTAAAAGGGAGAGTAGAGGAACATTAACACAAGACCCAAATTATTGTTTCTGCATTTAAAGAATGTAAGGTTGTAAGTTGGGGGAAAAACAGCAAGTGGGAGGGTGTTCCACAGTTTGGCATTTCGGGGAAAAAGATTAGAGCAGAGACTTACGACATCTGGGAGAAGAAATCTGATAAGGATGACTAGATGCCTGTGTACGGGATGGGCGGTTAAGAGTTGCAAGAAGAGGAAATGCCGACGCAATTTCCGAAGAACAAAAACCAAAGTAGTAACGGCAGAGCAGGGACAATGAAGCAACTGCCGATTATGGGCTAGTGATTATAGACTGGATGTTAGAGTTGGTCGGTTTTTTATTTCGCACCGAACGTTTTGTCATCCCAGTTCATCTTCTACAGTACAAAGCTCAGATCCGCCCTGCTGTTGAATACTGTTGTCACGTGTGGGGTGGGGCTTCGTCTTCTTCCCCTTCCCTTCTTGATCGTGTCCAACGAAAGACCATCCGGCTGATCGATGATCCTTCCTTACAGGACAGTGAGAGTGTGCATCGAGTAAATGGTTCATAGGAGACTTATATCCCGTTTGTTGGACCATATGACCTTCGGAAGACGGATTTACGTCGAGTGCCTCATAGGCAATACAAACAAGTCTTGAGGGCAGTTCACACGACTCATCAAGTTAGGTATAGAATCTAGATTCACTAGCTCCCAGGAGACGAATAAACTGCCGGTAGCTCGTCAATCCAGTCATATCCACAGGATCTCTCATTTTTATTATGATCGGGCTTGTAAGAATTGCAACGAAGAAAACAATCATACTAAGAAATTGAAAACAGGATGATCACAAGTGATATAGTACTGTCTATTCGTAAGGGGGAGGGGTTAAAGAAGACTTACCCGAACACGACGTTCAAATGGAATTACGAATGGAACTTCTTTTAGGATAAGCACCTGGCGCACTTCCCGATTGGACAGTACAAACGGAAGACCGCCTAAGAAGGCAAAAACATGAAGGTGGAGAGAAGAGATGATGAACTTGTTGTGAATCAGTGCAATTCACTGATAAAAGGGATCTGATAGGGAATGAAAGGTTTTTGATTGCGTCGGGGACGTCAATGAATTGTCGCAGTGTGGCTAAGTGTTAGATCACTGTGACTTTTGGGCTTACAAATTCCTCGGTTCATCAAACCAACGGGCAGTGGTGGCCCGATCGCAACGTCAACAAATTATCACCCCGGAGAACGTGTGTTCAAATCCCACCACTACCGCCTGACTCTCTACATAATATGTTTTACGACAGCTCTCTGATTATCCACTTCCCCTCTTTAAAACTGTATCTTCGTAAATTCAATAAAATGAAGTAAAAGAGAGAGAAAAATGAACGAAAAAACGACTATAAATCTCAGAAAACTCGATAGAATATGTTATTTTTTTTAAGAGTATCAAGCTTGGATTAGCCCATTCGATGGTTCAGAGGCACCAGGAACTCTTGATGGTCTTGGGTGTGGGGTTCACTCCTTGGGAGATTGTTAATTCCCCACGAGGTAATGCACACACAAAACCACACAGAAGACCATCAAGAATGCCTGGTGCATCTGAACATTCGAATGGGCTAATCCAAGCTTGACAATCTAAAAATTGATTGAGCCATTCACACACGGTGATGATCGTCGACTGTGTAGCTTAGGGATAAGGGTTTGCAGTCCCCACCCGAATGTTCGCGGTTCAAGTCCTAACAGGGGTAAAAAAGTGAGCACTGCTGACGAGCCCCAAACAGGACGAAATACCTATCAAGAGCTCTTTGTCGATTATCACAAACATTTTTATCGCACTTGAATGTTATGTTCTTTTATTTAAAACAACACTTGTGTTCAATACTTT